ACCATGTGAATTCATTCTGGCCTCACAGGTGAAACAACCCAGGAAGCAGAGGGACAGTCTCCAAACAGGCCCCAACACACTGGAGGGCTGGTGTGGATCACTGCTTGTCCATTAAACCAGAGAGCTCCAGCACTCTGCCAGATTGCAGCATGCACGAATACTTTTGCATAGGTTGATTGTCAGATGAATGTTCTTATGAAGCACAAAAACCCTCTGACTGGGGTGGTGCAAACCACGGCGTCTACCCCGAACCAGAAAGCTCCAGCCCTGTGCTCAATTGCAGGCATGCACGAAAGCTTATTGCACAGGTCAGTGAGAATCTCGATGAATGCTGCTCTGTTTCTTTGAGCAGACTTGTGCTACCTTTCAACTCTCACAATTTTAGCACGCGGCACACACAAAGGTGCTGGCTGGAGCTGCTCCTTTCTGACCCACACTGATGGGAACAAACCCTCACGAAGGTGCTCCGAGCCGATGCACTCACCTGCCTGCGACTTTGTACAATGTTTCAAGGCCTGTGCACAAGACAGTCAACATGCTTGAGAAGAAAAGAGACGCACCTGCAAATTGCAGCCGGGCCTTCTCCTCCCGCAGCTGCTCCTCTTTCTTGCGCAGCTGCTCCTCTTTCTTGCGCAGCTGCTGTAGCTCTGTGAACCACCGTTGCACAGCCTCCGTATTGCCAGCGTTCTCTGCAGCCTCGGCCTTTCCCTCTGCTTTCTCGATCTTAGGCTCAAGAGCTTCAATGGCTGCATTCACCCTGGCGATTTCCGACTCAACAGCCTCCACAGTACCCATGTTAGGGGTCTCTGAACTCCAGTAGGCTTCTTGAGCGAGGTAGCGTCAGAGAAGGGACATTCGGCGAAGAGATAGGAAAGTGCTGTTCTCCAGCCCTGTCAAGATAGATGATGCGCGACAGAAACTCGCAGACGCAGAGATTGCTTGCGCCTGAGAATGTCATCGAATGTCGGAGGACTCGTAGACAATACAGGAGCTAGGATTCTGACCCGCACTT